GCGTGCGCACGCACACACACTCCAACATTCCCACGACTATCTGCACTCCATTCTATGACTTGGATTTTCCTTTTTCTCAAAGCCCTTTTGTTTCCTGTTATGGTTCCTTGCTCTCCTCCTGTGCCCTAAATACAGTGCTTCTCCGGTAGTTAGGCCCGGAGTCTGATTTTTCCTGCCAGATAATTTATCGAATCTTATTTCAACGTTAAACTCTATGTGGTTGGCTTATATCTGAATCTTCCATCGTTCCTTTCCTCTGAGCTACCACACACCTCAAACTCTATACATCTCCAACCCCGGCCAGCAGATTCCCTCCACCAACATCAAGGAACTCGTTTATTCCAGTCGGTCAACTGCAAGAGAATTCTAAGAGTTGTCCTTAGGAGTTTTCTGTGGCTCTCTAACCCCCACATCCCACTCCTTTGTCTTTTCTATTCTTCCTATTAGTGTCCCTCTCAGCTACTATGACCTCTAGCTTACGCCTTCCATTAATGTAGGTCTCCACATCTCTCCGATTTTCTCCATGGATCTCCTGCTATCTGTACAGCCACACACTGCTCCCACCAACCCCACCCGCTGTTCTCAGCTCTCTTCCTACAACGGGCACTTTCGTCCTGCCCGTCCGTCTTCAGAAACGTGTCCATTTCCCAGTCTTCCAGATTGGCACTCTGAGGCCCTTCACAAGCTAACCTCAGGCTACTCTCTCATTCATATTCATTATTTCTGAAACAAACCCTTGGCTCTAGGTGGGCTGGTGTGCCCATTATTTACCCAATTCAGAAACATTGTTTGAATCATATACTTATTGACCATCTATTATGCAAAATGAAAAAATGATTCATTCTTTCAGCAATTATTTATTGGACATATAAGGTCGCCATGAGTAGGAATCGACTTGCTGACAGGGGTTTGGTTTTGGTATATTGTACTGCACTATGAGGGGACTTCAAAGAGTCCAAGGTACAGTGAAATACTACATAACAGTGAAGAATAATGATGAATCTGAGAGCCTCCTGACATGGGTGATACTGGAGGATACTATGCTGAGTGAAATTGGCCGATCACAAAAAAATCACTGCTATTGAAAACAGAAAAGGGTTTTTGTTGTTTTCTTTTCTTGCTTTGTTTTGCTCTGTCTTGTTTTTGTGCATATTATCTCTGCAGGTCTATCTAGATAAGATAGGTGGGATAAACCATCTGGAGGAGAAAACAACAGGACCAATGGTTCTG